TTGCAGGCTCGGTTTGATTGAGCCTGTTCATGGACGGTACTGGAAAGTGCAAATTACCGTCCACGCCCCCTAGCACCGGCTTAAGCAGAATTCAACATTTAAACGTGAAATAGTAAAATTTTGAATTTAGAAATGTAACCGGGGATAAATGATTGTTGACTTGCTTCTAATTCATCATTTTATTGTCGGACATACAAAAAACGAGCCTACAAACAAAATACAAAGGAATTACAAATAATTGATTTACAAAATAATAAAATTACACATTTCATCCAATTCATCAATGGAAAAGAATAAATATGACATTAGAAACATATAAATTCTTACCAGGATCAGCATACAAGAACTTTCCATAAATGATGTTCAAGTTAACTATAATAAGTAACTATTACTATCAACAACTATACTGTAAAGTAAGTTATCAGTTACTCGTATAATGTGGAACTGGCGAAGGGAAATATTTTACTTAAGCAAGAAAATGTTTCGCGGGGATTTTAGGGTCATGCACGTGAAATATTAGTGAACACATTCATACAACCTTTCAACTTACAGTGACCTCTCATACGAAACAGACTATACAAAACATTACCACAGTTAGGCAAACAAACGACGACGATACAACAGTTAGGCGAATACCAACCAAATACAACATAACACGGAGGATACAATATACCAGTGATAAACAGAAAACGATACACAGGTTACACATTCCCTCCCTTTAAGGAAATGGCTCCTGACATTTCCATAACTCAATTATATTCGAGTTTCAAATAAAAACATCAGGACATAATCATCTTCAATAAATCATATGTGTATAATAATACACAACAATTATGTCTATTTCTTGTCTTTATGAAATGACAAATATAAATCTATTGATATCTTTTTAATGAATTTTCAATTGTAATGTGAAATTAATAAGTTAATTTCTTTAATTGAAATTGGTTCATATATATGATTCAGCTCTATATTCAAATAAATCTATTTACAAATATTTACAATAGATAGACAAAGTTGCATCACAGTACACTGGTACTAGTATGCAATAATAAATCCGTCATCCTCTCTAATACTTCAAGATCAACTTCTCCACATACAAACAACAACTTGTTCACCTATGGCAGATGTGGAGACAATTTTTTTTTTTATTTATTTTTTTTTATTTATTTTTTTTTTTAAACTGTATAAACACATGAAAACATATATGATTTGTTCAGACATAGTTCCTAGTTATTTCTAAAATAGAAACATTGATAAATCAGGTTTACTGACCTTAATTTCTGTGAAGAAATTAATTAAGTAAATTCAAAATTTTACATTATATAATAATATATGATAATCATACAAATACTTCCAAATCTTGGCTAGGATTTCTTACAATAGGGGTAACCCATTCACCGTATCTCTGCGGTGGGACTCTGCGCCTTACAGGACGAGGACTTGGAGGTGGAGGTTCAGGGTCAGGTACTGGGGTGGAGCCAACTTCCTGATCACTTACCAAATTAGTCTCAGTCTCTGATTGCGGTGATAAACCATCAATTCTTGAAAAATGGTCAGATAGAGTAATGGTCTCTGCAGAGGGGTCACTCTGAAATGATTCCAGAGCCTTTGAAGGTTCTGGGGTCACAGACACAGTATGTTTAGACCTACTGGACTTTTCTTTAGGACGTTTCTGGGGTCTTAGTGGTGGAGGTAGGTATAATGTTTCGGTATTATCTGAATCGGAATCAGTGGAATCCTCGATTTCAGTGGACAGAGTATCGGCTGTCGACCTGAACTTATTAGGAGTTCTCTTGCGAGAGCTGCTTTCTGGTCTAGGTTTGATACTCTCCTGTTCCACAAGTTGAGTAAAAGGATAGGGTAGTAACATATTCCGGTGTAGAGTCTTAATTGGGCCCTTCTTGTTTTCTTGCTGAACTCTATACACGGGAATGTCAGGATTGGGTATAGAAAGGACTATATAAATTTCCTCATCCCAACGATCTGACAACTTGTTAGTCCCTTTCACTCCAACTTTCCGAATCAGTACCTTATCTCCAACATCAAGTCGAGTATGCCTCACTTTCTGATCATATATGGTCTTGTTTTTGGCAGCCATCCTACCAGCTTCTTCTGCAGCCCTGCGGTATGCTATCTGTAATCTCCGATGGAGTTTTGATGCATAAGAGGACTGATTCCCTGTGTGCTCTTCTGAAGGATCTGTGCCAAGATAAGCATCTACAGGAAGCCGTGGGTGCCAACCAAACATCAGAAAATGAGGGGCATATCCGGTTGCATCATTTTTGGTGGCATTGTATGCCTGAACCAATGGACCTATGTATGCCTTCCAGTCATACTTCTGGTGGTTTTCAAGGGTTCCAAGCATTTTCAGGAGTGTTTGGTTCCAACGTTCAGCACCTCCATTTCCCATGGCGTGATATGGAGTAGTTCTGGACTTCTTAATGCCAGCAATCTTGCATAACTCCTGAATGGTGCGACTTAAAAAGTTGCGACCTTGGTCACTATGCAATTGCTCTGGGAACCCGTAGTATCGAAAATACCCTTCATAGAGTGCCTTCGCTGTGGTAGCTGCAGTCTGGTTCCTGCATGGAATAGCCTGTGCGAAACGTGTAAAATGGTCCACTATTACAAGGATATTTTCAATACCACCTTTACTGGGCTCAAGCTTTAAGAAGTCTATGGAAACCAATTCCATTGGTCTGGTAGTATGGATAGGTTTCAGTTCGGCGAAAGGCTTGTTACATGGCGTCTTACGCTTGATACAGCGATCGCATCTCTCAACCCAACTGAAAATGTCCTTTTCCATACCAGGCCAGTAAAACCTTTGTCTACCAAGCCACAATGTCTTCTCTTTGCCCTGGTGCCCGGCATCATTATGAATACCTTTCATGGCGATGTTCCTATGTGATTCAGGAATGACAAGCTGTTTGACTTGTTGACCATCCAATGTAGCGGTTCTGTACAGAATATTATTTTGTATGAAAAGCCGATTTGCTTCTCTAATGTACTTCTGTACAGCAGGTTGCTTAATACCGGTATCTTTCCCCCTGGGCAGGGAACCGCTACGTAGGAAGTTCATTACAACACTCAAAGTACTATCATTGGACTGCTCATTAAACCAATCGATGTTTGCAATTGAATCAGCTACATCAGCCTCTTCAGTGGCCATCTGAAGGGCTGCTGCACCTGAAGTACAGTTGATGACAGGAGCAGAAATAATAACAGCTTGGTAGATAGACTTAAGCTCATCCTGAAAAATATGTCGTCTGGATAGGCCATCAGCATCCATGTTATGCTTACCACTACGATATTCCATAGTAAAGTTGTAGTTGGCTAAGTCTGCAAGCCATCTATGTTGTGTGGCATCTAGCTTAGCTGTGGTAGTCACATAGGTTAAAGGATTGTTGTCAGTTTTAACAACAAATTCATTTCCATATAAATAATCATGGAATTTATCTGTAATGCTCCATTTAAGGGCTAGAAATTCTAGTTTATGGGCGGGTAGTAGTTACGCTCACTTGGTCTGAGGCTACGACTTGCGTATGCAATTACGCGTTCCTTACCATCTTGTTCCTGTAAAAGGACTGAACCAAGACCATGGGTACTTGCATCCGTGTGCATGATAAATGGCAAGGAGTAATCAGCATAACCTAATATTGGTGGAGAAACTAACTTTTTCCTAAATTAACTCAAAGGCCTTTTGTTGTGCTCCACCCCAGACCCACTTAACTGGTGTTTTAGCCTTTTTCTTAGACCCCTTTGATCGTTTGTTGTCACCATGACCTTGTAAAAGTTCATTCAAGGGTTGTACTATTTGGGCATAGTTTGGGACATATTTACGATAGTACCCTGTAAATCCAAGGAATTGTCTAAGAGTTTTTATATTTATAGGGACAGGCCAATCTTGTACAGCTGAAAGCTTATTTGGGTCTGTGGCAATACCATTGGCAGAAACAACATGCCCTAAATATGTAACTGAAGACTTGAAAAATTCACACTTGGAAGGCTTGACACGCAAATTATGATCACTGAGTCGTTGAAAGACAGACTCTAACCTGGAAATATGTTCCTCAAAAGTGGAAGAAAATATTAAAATGTCATCTAAAAAAATTAAACATTCTTTGAGATGCATATCACCCATACATTTTTCCATGCAACGCTGAAAGGTAGCGGGGGCATTTGTTATTCCAAATCCCATTTTATTCCACTCATAGAAACCTAAGTTTCCTACAGAGAAAGCAGTTTTAGGCTTATCACATTCTGCTAAACCAATTTGCCAATATGCAGAATGAAGGTCTATTTTAGAAAAATACTTTGAACCAGATAAGACATCAATAGTGTCGTCAAAGCGTGGTAACATGTATGCATCTTTGCGTGTTCTGTTGTTTAACTTACGCCAATCAACACAAAATCTAAGGGCACCTGTAGGTTTTCTCACAAGAACAACATTTGAGGAAAAGGGCGAATTAGATTCCCTTATAATATTGGCATCTAACATTTCTCTGATGTGCTGCCTAACTTCCTCATATAAAGCTGGAGGTATTCTGCGATACGGTTCCTTGAAAGGAGTTTCATCTTCCAATTCTATATGATGCTCAATCAAATCAGTGGTTTGGATTTCTTTAGTAGATGTACAAAAAATGCCCTTCCATTTACCAAGAACCTGATAAAATCTTAAAGTTTGTTCTGGTGTTAGATTGGAAGAATCAACTGAAATGTCCTTGATTGGAGGTTCTGAAGGAACATCAGGAGAAATATAAGAAGAAATATCATCTATCACTTTAGCTTCTGTAATAGTACAGATTTCTGACTTGGGTTTGATAGTCAATATTTTAGCAGTCATGTTACAAACCTTGACTGATATTTTTGCAGAAACAGCATTATGTGTTTTGATGACACGTGGACAAACTGTATACCCTTTAAAGATTTCAGGACTTTCAGTAACTACAGAACATATAGACTGATCAAGATTCCTAGCAATGCCATTAAGTGTGATACTCTCAAATGGAGGTATTTTTACACTTTTTCTTTCCACACACCTTTACAGGGTAAGTATGAGAGTCAATACTATCCATAGCCATTTGCCACTGTTCAGGAATAGATAATTCCTCAGGTACTTCCTTCACAAACATTTTACAACGGCGAAGTACATTTGTTCCAATAATTATTGGACAAGAAATATTAAAATCATTGTCTGGTATTACCAGAATAGGAATGTCAAGGTTAAAAGAAGATAAAAATGGAACACATACAGTTGCTTCAATATAACCTGAATATTTCAATGAAGAACCATCTGCAATAGAGAGAGTAAGTCCAAGTGAATCTAAAGCTTTTAAGGTAGCCTTAGGATTTAAAGTCTCAAATGCAGACTGACTAATGGTAGAAACCATAGAACCTGAATCAAGCAGACATTTGAAGGTATTTCCATTTACAATAACACTGTGTTCATTTGCAGGTCCAATAAGATTCTCTACAATTGAACTATGTTGAGTCCTACTTGATTTATTTACAAATGATTTGGGCTCAGTGACACTAAGATTACCAACCTCTATTCTGCCCGCAACAGAGGCGGTTATCAGTTTGATTGGTTCGAATCCCGAGGGTTATATCTACCATGACCTCTGCCTCTACCTCTAGAATAAGATCTAGAACTAAAATTTGTGTTGTTATTGTTGGTGTTGCTTGTGTTTGTGTGAGAATTACTGTTTTTGTTGTTGTTACTGTTATTGTTGTTGCTGCTGCTGCTGTTGTTGTTGTTGTTGTACCTGCTTTTGTTATTTATGTTGGTTCCAAAATTATTGTGTGAACTTGACCTGAAATTAGAACTTCGATTTTCTAATTTCTGAAGTATCAAGTTAAATTTGGAATCTATATTTGCTTCAATAGTATCTTTAAAAGATGAAAGTTTAGATTCCATATTGGTTATTTTAGAATCCAACTTATTTTCTAAAGCAGACAGTTGTTGCTCAAAAGAAGATTCAACAGACAATGGTGTATGTTTTATTGTATGCTTAGTTGATGGGACAGAAGACGTTTGAGTAGGATTAATAGAAGTCTCTTTTTCTACTTTCCTTATCTCTCGAACTAACAAATTGTAGTCATCAAGAGAGTCATACTTATGCCTAGTCTGAAATTTCAGCATATCAGAATATAAACCTGTCCAAAATTTATGACGCAAAATGTCATTCCTTGCTAAGCCTGGGAGTTGACCTTTGTCAATAATAGACTGTAAAAGGGTTTCTAACCTACATGCATATGTAGTTACCGACTCATTGGGATTTTGTCTACTGTTAAAGAATTGAGTCAACAAATCTTCCTTAGTTGAAGCCTCTGAAAACATAACATCAAGTTTACCTAATATTTCTTTGACAGTTGCATTTTGACCTAATGGTACTGTCATGATCCTAGCTGTACCCCTTAATGATCCCCTAATAATCTGGAGAACAGTAGACCTTGTTAAATCCGGATTTGTCAACAGACATTGTACTTCATATCTCCAAACAACATATGGAACTTCACCCTTAGGTAAAGGTTCATCTCCTGAAAAACAAGGAATCTTGGGAATGACTGAATGGGGCATTGTTACCTGATTGGGAACAGACAAAGAGGGACCAGGCGTAGAAGCCATAAATTGATTTGCAAATCCAGATCCAGCCATAGATCCAGTTGCTAATGGGTTACCAAGACTCAAATTTGGCAAAAGAATAGGAGGAATACTAACCGAAAACCTTAGGTTTTGTACCTGTATTGGCAAATAATGGTGCCCCTGTACCAGAAATATCAAATGGCACAGTTGGTATGGTAGATGTGGACGGAATAGTATCCTTAATATGTGGGGGCTTAGTCTTGGGTATAAGCATATATCTGTCCTCAATGAATTTCAAAATTTCCTCCATATCTGGCTGAGGAGAAGTGCTATCCAAGCTAGATTTATTTCCTTCTTCAGACATGTTATTGAATTGAATCCACTTTTTTAGTATCAGTAGACTATAAAGTATCTTAAAATATACAGCACTATGCTATCAAATAGCAATCACAGCTTTATGTAATTACAGCTATGTACTAATATCAATATAACACTCTGTAATATATAATGAACTCATGTATATATGGGTCAATATTGGATAATATAGGGCAAATTTCCAAATTAAAAAAAATCAAATCAATATATTTAAAACACAAAAAAGTAATTGTTTTTTTTTTACACTATTTTGGTATTCAAACTATTTCCTGTTATTATTACACCCTTTTTTATTTTTAAACCTTAATTTCCAACTTTTATATCAATCATACTCCAAATATTGTCGCATCAAAATAAAGAATTGTCTTAGAACTAGATCAACATAGCGTGGGAAAATATTTGTAACATACGTCATTTTTTTTTCTACAAACTAGGTCAATTGATCTATTCAATACCTGTATCTATAGTCCGTTTTACACAAACGGTCAATCAAAAACACGATCAAATAAACCGAATCCGACAAAAAATAAAACCAAACACGATATTTTTCTCGGTTACCATTTCAACCTTTTCATTCATACCGTGAGTGCATTGTATTAGTATGGAAGTGGTTTGGGAGAGAGTTTGGGAAAATTGGAACGGACTAAGTACATCTAATACAAATCATTGGTTACTGTTGACCACCAGGTCAAATCAACTTTGCTTAAATTCTATGCTAAACGGTTTCTAAACCATGATATGTACACAAACACAAAATTCAACACAAACATCTATATGTACAGACAATATTTGTTACAACTGTATAAAACAAGAGCTGTCCGTAAGACAGCGCGCTCGACTTTTTTATTGCTTGCCAATAAAAAAAGTTTTTGCAGTAAAAGGCAATACAAGAATCTCTGTATTTTTAAAGTGAACAATGGCCATGAGCATTAAGATATTTAGTGAAGAATTATTTTACTGAATTGTGTGATACCCTTGAACACTGCAGCAAAGTTTGAAATGTTTAAGTCAAAAGAGGGCTGTAAGAAAGAAAAAAAAACTTTTTTAGTGCTTGCCTATAATACAAAACATTGACAGTTAAGGGCCATAATTCAAATAAAATCTTTGACAGAATTACCTTCTCCTGGACATGTTTGGGAATCATGATTGTAAACAAGTATTCCAACTTTCAAATTAATATCTCAAACAGTTCAGTCAAAAAGTGGACTGGTACTAAAAACTTAACCAAGATTCTAAGTCGATAAAAGGCCTTAATTTTTAAAACAAATCCTTGACAGAGTTACTTTCTCTTGCGTACAGATGGGGGTAATGATGTGAAATAGCATTAAAAGTTTCAAAGCAATATCTCAAAGGGTTAAGGCAATAAGTGGATTTTACCCATATTCAATGTATTTTCTAAGTCAAAAAGGGGCATAATTCTGTCAAAAACCTTGACAGAGTTATGTCCTCTTGTCTGTTGATGAAGGTCGTGATGGTAAACAAGTATGGTCAGTTTCAAAGCAATACCTCAAATGGTTTTGAAATAAAGTGAGGTGGTACAAAAAACTTAACCAAGCTCAATACACTTTCTAAGTCAAAAAAGGCCATAATTCTGTCAAAAACCTTGACAGAGTTATGTACTCTTGTCTGTAGATGGAGGGTTATGATGGTGAACAAGTATGGTAAGTTTCAAAGCCATACTTGTAATACTTCTGAAATAAAGTGGGGTGGTACGAAAAACTTAACCAAGGTGTGACGCCAACGCTAACGCCGACGCCGACGCCGACGCCGACGCCGGGGCGAGTAGGATAGCTCCCCTTTTCATAGAAAAGTCGAGCTAAAAATACTTCTTACTTGCGCAATATATTCACTCAAAAATATAATGTGTACTAGATATTGTAAACGAACCTAACTTTCTGTTTGTCAATTTAAAACAATAAAACTTTACTGTTAAATGATATATGTAAGTTTATCAAATGATAAAAAAGAAATAGCAAAAATTTAATATAAATGTCAAGAAAACAAGCAAAAAAATATTCATAGGAAAGAAAAATCTTCTTATATCAAAAATGTACATGTACTGTACTGAAACGAATAATGCCTATCTGAAGATAGCCTAACTTTGATGTAAATAAACTGTACAGTATACAAGTAGATTCTATAATAATTTAACTACCGAAGTGACCAAAATAATTATATAGAAAGAGTACTTACATTACATCCTTAATCCAATAAAATATACACACTTTTCACTATAAACACATACATGTACAAATACACAAAATAAAGTTCACACACACACACACACACTAAAGTTCCTGCACGTGCATAGTTGAATATGTCGTCCTCCGCGATGAAAATAGTTCCACGGCGATCCTTTCCTGATTACATAGGGCTAGAAAACGTAAGTTTTCTACAGTTTATAGAATTTTGGGCTTTATAAAATTGAATGTAATCATTATAATGGGTAAAGAGCTCTTTAAAAGGGGACAGGGGGAATATACCATTATGATGCGTAGAGTTGTACCGGTACGTGCCAACGTCACAACATCCGTCTATCTCCAACTTGAAAAGCTGTTAAGTTTTCTCGGCTGAGGCGTACCTGGAGCGGTTGTGAAAGACTGTCCATCGACCCTAGCTCGTATGTAGTTCATCGTCGGGGAGCCATTTGTAACCGGGGATAAATGATTGAAAATTCTGGAAACAAAGTGATCCCTCGGAAGCATTAATCACAACAAAATAACATAAGAATTGCAGACTCGGTTTGATTGAGTCTGTACATGAGGGATACTGAATAAGTGCAACATCCCTCACGCCCCCTAGCACCGGCTTGAGCGGTACTCAATTCTCAACACTTTATAGTGCTGGCATCAATGATCCCGAAGGACCAGAAAATATAACAACACTGAAGTGAAGTACGGGGCAACTTTTTACGGCTGCCACACGGCACTTGACACCTGCTGTTGTGAAGTACAAAATTCAAAATACAAAATGAAGACTTGCTTCTATTTCATCATTTTATTGTCGGACATACAAAAAACGAGCCTACAAACAAAATACAAAGGAATTACAAATAATTGATTTACAAAATAATAAAATTACACATTTCATCCAATTCATCAATGGAAAAGAATAAATATGACATTAGAAACATATAAATTCTTACCAGGATCAGCATACAAGAACTTTCAATAAATGATGTTCAAGTTTACTATAATAAGTAACTATTACTATCAACAACTATACTGTAAAGTAAGTTATCAGTTACTCGTATAATGTGGAACTGGCGAAGGGAAATATTTTACTTAAGCAAGAAAATGTTTCGCGGGGATTTTAGGGTCATGCACGTGAAATATTAGTGAACACATTCATACAACCTTTCAACTTACAGTGACCTCTCATACGAAACAGACTATACAAAACATTACCACAGTTAGGCAAACAAACGACGACGATACAACAGTTAGGCGAATACCAACCAAATACAACATAACACGGAGGATACAATATACCAGTGATAAACAGAAAACGATACACAGGTTACAGAAACATCAGCAGATGTGTTCATACGGCGGTTATCATGGAACCTTCAATGTGACACGTAAGTGCCATTCCATGAAAAGTGGCGTATGGTCCCCAAGTAATAAAATGCATGTGCCCTAAACGAGAAAACAATGGGCGGAACTAAATAAAATGGAATTTTGAAAGGGGATCAGAGGTTATGAAGCCTGCGTATCACAGATAAGACGTCAAAAGACAAATTTAAAAAGCAGGCAACATATCCTAAGGGTGATTCAACATTATTCAAGTAGGAATATTGGAACCACCCAACTAGAAAATGCCGAAAAGTTGAAACAAAAAATACCAAAAGCACAACAATAATGTCGTGCTGAACGATCTTCAAGGATCGAAAATATAACATCATTGATTAAATGTACGGGGAGACTTTTTACAGCCGCCACACGGCACAAATAACACGGATGTGATCATAAAATAGATAAACACAGAATCCCTAAAGAAAGCCCAACACGGCAAAATTGAAAATGTTGCAGGCTCGGTTTGATTGAGCCTGTTCATGGACGGTACTGGAAAGTGCAAATTACCGTCCACGCCCCCTAGCACCGGCTTAAGCAGAATTCAACATTTAAACGTGAAATAGTAAAATTTTGAATTTAGAAATATCCGCAGATGTGTTCATACGGCGGTTATCATGGAACCTTCAATGTGACACGTAAGTGCCATTCCATGAAAAGCGGCGTATGGTCCTCAAGTAATAAAATGCATGTGCCCTAAACGAGAAAACAATGGGCGGAACTAAATAAAATGGAATTTTGAAAGGGGATCAGAGGTTATGAAGCCTGCGTATCACAGATAAGACGTCAAAAGACAAATTTAAAAAGCAGGCAACATATCCTAAGGGTGATTCAACATTATTCAAGTAGGAATATTGGAACCACCCAACTAGAAAATGCCGAAAAGTTGAAACAAAAAATACCAAAAGCACAACAATAATGTCGTGCTGAACGATCTTCAAGGATCGAAAATATAACATCATTGATTAAATGTACGGGGAGACTTTTTACAGCCGCCACACGGCACAAATAACACGGATGTGATTGTAAAACTTCAATTTTTTCTTAATTAAAAATTTTGCTTATAAATTAAGGAAGAAAAGAATAATCTGACAAAACAAAAAGAAGAAAAAATGCATCTAAGCTCGACTTTTCGAAGAATAGGGAGAGCCATTGTTGTCATCCAGGGTGGCGGCACCGGTGTCGGCGTCACACATTGCTGCAAGTTTGTAACTCAAAAACTAATGAAGGGAATGGGTTCAAACTCCACACATTTATTCGAGAGTATAATAGACAACTGTTCTAACATGGATTTTGACACAATTATGGCTCTTTTTGAATTTAAAAAGTTACATTATCAAGGCTCTTGCTTTACTTTTAAGCATTGAGAATAGTCAAGCACGCTGTTCTACTAACAGCTTTTATATATATGAGAGTA